CTCGTGTGGCACATCCGGCTGGGAGGGATCGATAACAGTGAGCGATTTGCCGCCCACCTGGGCAGAGATCGAAGTCCAGAAGTTCTGGGACACAAACAGTGGTTTGCAATTCAGTGTGGAGTTGTTCTTATTCCGGGAAGTTTGTTGAAAAATAATCCCGCTTCATTGTTGGGTTTGGTGCTCTTATATTGAACTAAGCTTAATCAGCACTATAAAAGTTCAAAGTGCAAGATTTAGCCGAAAAATGCATTGTTATACAAGTGTTTTTTGCAAACAAGACAAACTCAGATCTATGAAATGGATTTCAAGATACCCAAAGGAAATGCAGCAAGCGCGGGCTGCGGGTGTCATAGTGTTGCAGTTCACATGGGCATGATGAGGCACAAATATGACCTCTATATGACAGCACACACATCAGAGCAAACAAGCCTACATGTGAGAACACAAATACGAGACAGCACACATATGAGCATGCCACGAAATCCACACTTCAAGGTTCACAAATTGCTGCACACAATATGAGTGTCCTACAAGATTGTGCGACAACGGCGTCCTATAAGTGTTGCAATAGAGTTGCACGAAAAAATGTCGCGCCCCACAAGAGCTTGTATTGCCGCGTTGTCCCACAAAGTGTCCTACAAGATTGTGCTACAAGAGTGCTTCTTAAGGGTGTGGCAATCAAAAGTCTGTCAAGAAAAGTGTCGCAGGAATGTGTCCCACAAGTGTGTTCGACAAATCCACAAAGATTGCGCGACAAAAGTGTTCTAGTCTAGTGTGGCGTAAGAGTGTCAAGCAAAAGTATCGCGCACAGGCGTCCTACAACAAAATGATCCTGTCCGTGTGATTGAAGAGTGTTCTACAAGCAGCTGCAGTAAGAGTGTCAAAGAAGGTTTGGCTCAGAATGCGTTTGCGTACGTGTGTGTTTTCGTCGCTTTTGGTCTCGCATTGTTGGTTTCGATCTTGGTTGCTCCACGTGTTGATTCATACTGATCTGGGCGGGTTGAGATTTGCAACTTAGTTCAAGCAAACAGTAGAGCCAAGTATTGTAAAGTACCCACCATGTTCAACAGGTCTCAGAATTCACACTGGCACCCGGACTCAAACGCCTAGGGCCTGAGAAGTATCACCACTTTGGAAAACGCCATCAATTAGTTCACAGATTCGTCCGCAGATGCTTTACGCTCAGCAAGCGCACGCAGGGGGTCACAAATTCATCCCTGTATTATATATGTACTGATTTAGACCACCAGTACTATCACCAGTGAGCGCCCAGCCATCCCCAAAACATCAATGACCATCCCATTCAAAATCAAAAGACCTGAATCATCATTGAGCGAAACGGTTAACGAAACAGTCCTGAACATTGCAGCCGCCCTGCCTCCGCCTCAGCCTCCAAGAGGGTGACCTGTTTGAAGCCCTTGGTCGCCAAACAGGCTGACATGTGAACACCAGCAGGTCCACCACCTACGATCACCACGCGCTTCTCCTTGCTGAGCTCCAAGCATGACCTTGGTCCGCTTTCTGAATTCTGGATCTACTGTAATCCTGCATGGGACCGTATTGAGGAACGAGACATGAACTTGAGAAAGGATCAACAAAAGCCAGTTGATAATTATATACCAGTATGCAGGTCCTAGTTATAAGGTGAGAGGGTGTAAGAGGCAAGGGGCAGTTGACAAAGTACAAATACGAAGAGGCTGTGTATGAACGTGTATGAACATACTGCGGCCAAAGTCTACAAGGACATAGCCCAAAGCGACCCGCAAGCATGCTTCCAAACAAGCAGCACTGTGGTACACCAGCAGACCCGCAGCACACCAGCAGCAACCAGCCAGCAGCAGACCAGCTGACACCATCAGGCTGCAGAAACAGCACACCAGCGCAGCAAACCAGCAGCACCCCAGTAGCAGCCCAGCAGCACACCAGCAGCAACCCAGCAGCAGGAACAGCGGCAGCAAACCAGCAAAGCATGAGCAAAAGATCAGCAGCGCCACCAGCAGCAACGAGCAATGCGGCTCTGATAGCCGAACAATGTTGATGCCAACAATTCCACTGCTTTTGCAACTTGCATTTTCCGCATCACAAAGTCGACCGACATGGGCTCTACCAGAAAGTAAAAGCACCATTAAGTCTTCAGGTTTAGTCATCTCGCCATCTGCCCTAGCACACCAAATAGATTAAATAGCCCACTTCGTTCGCAGAAACTGACTTCAGCCATTCGCCTGTCGGAAAACTGGCTCTCGTAGACTGACTCGAATGAATGCCGACTGGTCATTCCTAGCTTCTGGCGTCGATCGCTTAATCCGCGACGGGTTCCCCCCTAAATCCCCGCCATTCCCAGCGACGGGAGCAGTTTGGTGTTGGGATTCGGAAAGTCTTCTGAGATGGAGGGGAAGAGCACCTCCAGCAGCCCCATGGCGTCAACCACGGAGAGGAATCACAGCACCGGGTCTGAGTCAAATGGCTACACAGGTCTCACTGTGCGAGGTGGATCATACAGTGTATACAGCCTCTTGACTTTCTTGATGAAAGTCAACTTCACAGCCTGGGTCCTAAACCAAGCGCGTTGCATAGTACAGTGTTTGTTTTCTTGGGGATGACGGACAAAATGCAAGTGAACTAGCCTGGGCTCTGGGCTCTGGTACATGTTCTGGCTGCTTGTCATGTGTCTCCAAGATAAAGTTTGTCAACGTGTCAACGGCTGGACTTGTCTCCAAATAAGGGAATCCCCCAACTACAATGGATGAATTATCAGCATCCCTTCTGAAAAGGAGACCGTCAAAGGATTTTGGAGAACTTGTCTGCCAGATTTGGGAGCTCTGAGCACTCCACATATGTTCAACCCGATGTGGGCTGCCCGTGTCCGTTTTTTCGGGGGCCTGCGCTCTGTTCATCACTTTCGTTGTGTTCGTTTTCAGTTGCTCACTCTGGCAGGTTCATGGGCTGAGGCCAGGGCCGTCGAAGTCCAATGCGGTCAGCGTAGTATGCGAAACGAAGCTGAGCTATAAGCCGGGCTCCTCTTTTGCAAGATGGTTTCGAGTGCCTTGATTGCCTTGAATTATATAAATGATGGCTTCCAAACAAGCTTGCAGGGGCGGCCCGCCATCAACAACCTAAAGTTTGCCATGGCCATCAAGAACTCAAGAGCTACTTGTCAAGTTGCCTGGATTGTTCGAGCCATTCGTGCACTGGCTCACAAAAGCAAAGTCCGAACATGACTGCTTGAGGATGAAGGTAAGCACGTTACTCCACATTCTTCCGGCACTTCTTTCTGCTTCGCACTGATCTTTGAACATCATTGAACTATGCTCCTTTATCGACCCGCCTGAGCAAACCTTCATAAACCTTGTCGCGCCCCCATCCCTCCTCAACTTTACCCACATTTTTCCTCGTCCAAATCACGCTCTAAGGGGATGTTGTGGGCCTCACCTCCATTTGGAGGTTGGCAAAGGTAGATCTTTGATCTGTATAGACATAGAGCTACAGTAAATAAATCATTCCATCATCTGGCCAAATTTGCTTCGTCTGCTCTTGAAAACTCCTTCGCCGATTCTGCTCCTCATGTGCATCATCCCTGATTATTTTAGAACATCTGTTTGTAAATTCTTTGTTCCGGAGATGCTCGTCGTCGACTTTCAAAGCCATGGGCCACGGCACCGCACTCAGGCACGTGGGGGGGTGGCTCCTGGACGCAGACGCACAGAGAGCGTGGCCTCAGTGGAGGGCGAGCAGGGCGAGCAGGGCGAACAGGGCCCGGCGGTGTTCTGCTCCTCGAACTTTTTGGATCGCAAAACACAGGATTTTGATGGATTTGGTACAAGCTCGCACCATGTTGCACAATGCTCTGGTCAAAGGGTAGCAGCCAGCAATTTGAGCAAAGAGTTGGGGATGTTGGCACCTTTCTGAATTCCGTGGAAAACCAAGTGAGGTCATCTATGTCATTAGCCCAATGCCAGCACGTAGGAGGTCTGGCTTGGCGGCAAGTACAAGGTTTAAATTTTTGATATGGTTTGAGGCTTGAGCTTCAAACTTCTGGCTGAGTAGCTTGGCAGAAGTCACCAAATCTGAGACCAAATCGCTTCAAGTCGAATCTCTTGCTTCCATAGTGAACGTGACCTCTGACCGTAAATTCAACAAGTGCCCTCCCTATGCCCCCAAGAATCCTCACAGGCGCCACCATTTCATCCACTCCATCGGTTTCACTTGAAAGGAATCCTTCAGCTGAGTGGCGTTGTACACATCCACGATGCCGTACAAGGGATCAAGTCCTTAGTGACTGAGCGGCAGATCCCACACACACACACACATCCCTACCGGCACCCGCATCCCGCTGCACCCTCGAACGCACAGTTCCGAGCCATGCTGATCCATAGCTAATCTCTCACACCACTTCTGAGGCCCCATAGTTCTGTGAAAACCCGATGGAACCCCTGTTTTGACCCTTTCTTGCTCTGAGGTGGCAACCCAAACCCTGCAGCCTCAGCTCGTCTCCCAGGACACGAGCTACCTGGAAGCCCCAGGCGTGTGGCAGGTTGGAGGTTCATCTTCGGCTGTGGGGAGGCTCGTGACCTTCTTCTGGGTTGATTCTCAATCCAGCAAAACAAAACCCAGTCCTTAGTGATGTTGGGTCTTGATCCACGGGCACATCTTAGTAAGTGCACATATATATATATACATACATGCATAAACACATACCATATACGTTAAAAGCTAGATACAGATACACGTTTATGTTCTCACAACGGTTCGAATTCCAGCCGGATGTTCACTTGTTATTATCCATTTCTTCGCATATAAGTCGTGGGGTTGACCTACGACTACCGCACCCATCGCGCGAGTCCCCCCCCCCGAATCCTCCTGGCCATCGACGTTCACAGCCAAGTCATTCGTTGTGCCTTGGCCGTGGAATCGCAAACCTTGCCCTGAAAGCGCCGAAACCCAATCACCGCAGATAGATTGGAAGCATATATATATATATATATACACGTCAGGAGACTGCCTTTTTTAGCTTCCTGAAGCCATTGAGGCCAGGTCTGGAGACATCTGCTGGTCCGCTGCTGATTTCAGCGCGGATCCATCAAGGGAGGTTCACAGTGCAGCCAACCGCTTGCAACAATTGACAAGGCTTCTTTCGTTGGCGTTTGTTGATGGTGCGTCAAAAAATAGAACCCTAAGTCGCCTTCAGCGTTTTTGAGACAGTTCTCATTTGAGGATATCGTCATGTGGACCGATCACTGCTTCGCTCAATTGACTCAAGCATGCTCAAGCGCAAATCTTCTTGCAAAGCATCAAGTTGTAAGCCACAACATCCAGCGCACTCCTTGGTTCAGCCGTTTCTTCCGTCAAGAGCGTCTTGCATCAAGAGGTTTCCATCATTGATTAACCTGGACGGCCCCGAATTTGCTTTCTGACAATTAAAATAACGAGGCACTCGAAACACACTGACGAACCGATGAAGACAGTGTTTCTCTGGCCCTGCAAGTCCAAAATCTTCCATGGAAGGCCTGGGAAAGGCTTAACACGAGGCCGGTGAGGGGAGGTTGGCCAAAGACCTCCTCCACCGGTGGCAAATTGAAACACAATGAACTACTCACCTACTAGTCTTATGCCATCAGGCCGTGGAAGTGCTTTTGTCGGGGGTGTGCTTTTCCAAATGGTCGCAGCAACTCATGGTGCTATGAGGTTAATAAGCTGGAATGGCTGGGCACCTGGATGGACAAAACCCCCACAAACCAAATCCCGTGCGGGGTGTCTATTTAACAACCGGTTCTGGGTCTATGTGCGTACATTCCCACCGTTCCTGTCGCGCACCTTCTCTAAGTAAAGCATTGCAAAACCCTACAGTATGTAAACCAAAAACCCTCCTCGCCTTCTCGCAGGCCTTTGGCATCAAAACGCGGGAAGTAGTCCCATGGTTTCTGGATCAAGACGTCCACCTTCCTCGTTCCACATCCGGGCGCGGCATTTCCCGGTTCCAGATTCCAGATTTGGGGGGGCGGGGCTGGCAGGTTTGGAAGGCTTGAAGGTGACAACGTTGGAGGCTGAAAAGCTAGCATTCCTTCAGTGGGCCTAAAGCTTTCAATAGGTTCAAGCCTGAAAGTGGGATCTGGTCTTTGCCGTCCATTGTTGGAGAATGAGTGACTTACGAATTAAACGGCCCAAAAGGTTAAAAACAGAGAGCTGCCTTACTTCGAGCGATCCCCACCCCAGGCGGCGATTCAAGAAGGGCACATGTATTGACAGACTACCCTGACAAACGTTCTGTAAAACATGCGCATTGACACAATTCTGACACCTGTTCTGCCAACCACTTCTGGTATGCATACTGACACATCTGTCATGTTTAAAGGCTGGGAAATGTTTTGGTCAGTGTTCTGACGTCCTCGTTGGCATGTGTTCTGGCATTTGTCCTGCCGTGTGAAGTCTGGCTGGTCCGACTTCGGTTCTGATGATATGTGTTCTGCCATGTACTGCGCGCATTTGCTCTGCCATCATGTGCTCTGAAAGAGTTGCTAGAGTTTCTGACATAAGACTTTGCGTTCAATCTGGCAAGTATACTGACATGAAACGCGCATATCTTCTGGCATCCTTGCTGGCATCCTTCCCACCCAGCGATCTCGTATATGTGTGGCATTCTTTCCATGGTTAGTTCTGACATCCTTTCCGGCATGCTCCCTGGCAAAAATTATGGCACTCTAACTGGTGAATCTTCTGGCATCTTTGCATATCTTCTGACATCCTTTCGGCCATATCTTCCGGCAACCTTTCCAGCAGCCTTCTGTGTTGCGCTTCTTTCTGGCACACCTTCTGACACCCATTCCGGCGCTCTACCTAGCATATCTTCTGACATCGTTTCTGGCTTCTGGCATTCTTTCTGCAATTCTACCTGCCATGTCTTCCGGAACTGGCGTATCTTTTGGCGAGCTCATGGGATCTGGTTTTTGCTGTCGTGCCCAGCCTGCCTGCAACAC